AAGTAATTCAAATTGAAAGTAATTTAAAAGAAATCAAGAAGAAATAAAAATTCTACCTGGTTTTATAATCTTAAAGAAATTCAGTCAGCAATTAAAATTTTTTTCCTATAAAAAACATTAGGAACACATATTTTTAGCAACATGCAACAAACCAAAAATCCAACCTTAAGGAAAATATTAAGCAGTAAAGGATTATAAATATCATATAATAAAAATAAACAATTTTTATGACATACATAAGGTATAATAAAACTCATATATACATATATATGTAGCTCATATATATGTAACATATATATATATATAAAACAAATGTGCAAAGGTTTTAGAAGGAAAATTGTAAAACTTAACTGAAAGACATGCAAAATGGGCTGGAGAGATGGTGGCTCAGTGACTAAGAGCACTGGCTGCTCTTACAGAGGACCGGGGTTCGATTCCCAGCACCCACATGGCAGCTAACAACTGTCAGTAACTCCAGTTCCTGGGGAATTTGACACCCTCATAAAATAAATTAAATATTAAAAAATAAAATAAAAAAATAAATGAAAGTCACGTAAGATAACCAGATTCATGAGGTTTGTGGCCTGAAAAACTCAATAATACTAAGATATCAAATTTTCCTCAAATTAATCTATGTTTAATGCAATTCCAATAAAAATCTCAACAGCTCTCCATGTCTGTGTGTGTAATTTACAAAGTTCATCTGAAAATTTATATGGAAAAATAAAGGGTGGATATATAACTCAATGTTTATAATTAATATCAAATGATATTAAATTACACAAATTACTGGCACCGAGAGAAATTAAATAAACAAGCCAGATAATTCAACAAGAAATTCACATGCATATAGAATCTTAATTTGTCATAAGGCTTAAAGTATGACATTGAACTAATACATTATTCTTTTAAAGTCAGTACTAGTCAGGGTCTTTAATGTGAAAAATAAAACTGCAACTTCTAAAGGAGAATGAGGGTGCTAAAATCTTTTTATTTAATTCTAAAGTGAAAATAAAATTTGAGAAAATTCATATATCACTATGAAAATATCTATATCTATATATATACAATATTTTAAAAGTTTAAATGTAGCTACCCTATGACAGGGGTTCAATGGACCTAATAGACACCACAGGCTAGCAAATGCAAAACCCAATGTCAGGAATGGACTCCTTCCAAATTTTTGACCAGAGAAATTCCAAAGACCCTCAAACAAAACTGGCTATTGAATGTCATTGCACTTGGTTACCCACCAGAACTTGATGGTAAGACTCTATTGCCTAGGGCATTACATACCTGAGTCGCAGAACAAGCAAAGAGAAATCAAGTTGGCACTGACCTTGAAACTACATCTCTGTGGGCTGGCTTTCATAGCACTAGGAGGTGCTATGCATGTTATTGGCAGAGAAAGGTAGTCATTGACCTTCCTCAGCTGTGAACTCTATGAACTTCAATAACAACTGGCTTGGCAAAATATGCCCAATGGTGCAATGGTGACATGAATATTATGGGAGTGATTAATCACCTGCTAATTGGATTTAAACCTTCACAACAGGGAGTCCATGCCTGGCACTTTAAGGCTGAGAACCCGTGGCTAGACAAACCACAGGCCACAGGGAAGAGTCTACTACTATCATTTGTTAAACAGGCATAATATTAAACTCACTCACAGTGATTTACTGTTTATAATACTAGTAGATTAGTACATTTCTCAACTCTCAAGGTCCTTTTTGCAGCAGATGGTAATTCACAAAGACCCACAAATGGTCAACATGCAGAGAATAAGAGACTGGATTGCTCAGCTCCAAATGGAACACCTACACCCTATCTTTTCCTCCCAAGGTTCAGGAATCACTGTGGAAGAGGTTGGGCTTCTAACCCATTTCCTCACATCTATGCTGGGTTTTTATCTGGTTTGAGTTTGCATGGGTCTTGTGCATGCTGTTACCATCACTGTAAACTCATCTGAGCAAGTTCCCAGCTGCCTGGAAAACTGTCTCCTTGTGGTCATTCACTACCCCTGGCTCTTACAGTCTTTTCACCCCCAAAGAGGATATTTTTATCATCTTTGATTAAGGAAGACGTTTTTCTCCTTCACAAAAAAGAAAAATTATAAAGGAAAAGATTGATATGATTTACTAATTAAAAAGACAAACTTCTGATTTATAAAACCACAACATAAAGCAACAAACAGACAAATCAAACAGTAAAAAACAGTATAACGTTGGTGACTGACAAAAGATGTCTATCCAGAATTTGCAATTCTGAATTTCTATAAATCAGCGAATCTCTTAACTATTTAGTAAGAAAAGAATATGGAAACGACTTGGACACTTCACGCAAGAAGAAACACAAAAAAACATAAAAATGGGCCAGGCGTGGCAGCTCACGCCTTTAATCCCAGCACTCGGGAGGCAGAGGCAGGCGGATCTCTGTGAGTTCAAGGCCAGCCTGGTCTACATAGTGAGTTCCAGGACAGCTGGGGCTACAGGGAGACCCTGTCTCAAAAAGACCAAAAAAGAAAACAAAACAAAAAAACCCCATAAAAATGTTTACTTCATTATTCATCAAGAAATACAAGTTACTGTCACATGAAACATTATTTACTCCTTTTTGATTAGAAAAACCTTCTAAAAATGGATAATTGTGGAGAACAGGATTGCTTATCCTATCTACCGTGATGGAACCCTACAATCTTACTTCTCTAGTGTAATCCGTGGAATACAGACATCATATCCATACTCTACTCTTAGCTTAAAGAAACTTTGATTTGAGCCTGGGGGACATGCACAAGAAGGTTCACAGTGACACAATTTGTAAGCAAGTAAACAGCACCACATGCCTACCAGCAGCAGACTGTATTAGAAAGTTCCCACACTGGAACAGAGCTCCATGCAAATATGGACAAATCTCAGCAATCTAAAAAGCAAATCACATGTGAATATACATATACAATTTATAAACATTAATGTATAAAATAATATGTTGATATATAGTATATATATGTAAGGTGAAGTCACCAAGAAAAAGAAGGGAATCATCATACATTTATCAAATTATCACACTGTACTCCATAAATGTGTGTGATTAAAATAATTTCAAAATTTAAAAGAAGGAAATGTAAAAGATGATAAAGTAAAAATCCAGAATCATGGATTTTTTAGGGGAAAAGCATGGGAAGGAGTTACGTGTAGGAGACAAAAGTAAATATGTAAACAGTACATTCTTTTACTTAAACTGGATTGCTCTATGGGCGTTTGTTGTGTTCCATATATATGGTGCCTATCTTAGAATTTTTGATAACTATTTGACAATTTAAAAATATGAAAGAGGGGGCTAGAGAGATTGCTCAGTGGTTAAGAGCACTGACTGCTCTTCCAGAGGACCTGGGTTTGAGTCCCAGCACCCACATGGCCACTAACAACCATCTGCAACTCCAGTTCCAGGGGATCTGAAAACCTCTTCTGATCTCTGTGAGCATAGCACCACATGGGTGCACTTACGTACATTCAAGGAGTATACTCACACACATAAAAGAAAAATAATAACTATTTTTAAAATATGAAAGAATAAAGTTGTACCAAAGCCTAGGCATATTGAACAGATAATAAATATCAGTTACTGCCCTGGGAGTTGGAAGCGACTCCAGGGACTGGAGATGGTTAGAGATACAGCCTTAGACAGGGAACTGTGATGAGGGTAGGATTTGAAGTAGCTGCAGGAAAAAAGAGAAAATTTTTTTTTTTTTTTTTTTTTTTTTTTTTTTTTGTCTTTTTGAGACAGGGTCTCCCTGTAACCCGAGCTGTCCTGGAACTCCCTATGTAGACCAGGCTGGACTTGAACTCACAGAGATCTGCCTGCCTCTGCCTCCCAAGTGCTGGGACTACAGGCGTGCGCCACCACGTCCTGGTGAGAAAACAAATTTTAATTGGAGAATGGTGTGAACAATGACTGAGGCGGAGACTGTTGTACAGCATCAGTGTGGGAGCGTGGATTCCTGAAATCCTTGAGAGGCGCTTTGAACCATGTTTAAAAAACAAAAACAAAAACAAAAAAAAAACCCTCTAGATTACTAGAAAATGTAATTCATCCTTTATTTGTGTAGAAAACAAGTGCGTCTTGATTTTTTTAACAAAAGATTTTATGAAGTTCTGTAAGTGAAAATGAGTCTTGTATATTCTTTCCATATCAAATGCCCAGCCTAGGGGCCACACCTAAACAGGAAATGAGGTGGCAAAGCTGCCTGTTGCCACAGCCTTTCTTGCCCGGTGTCCCACCCTCTCCAGTTCCCTGCAGTCCAGTGTGTTTACCAAACGAGTGTGCAGGAAAACACAATAAGAGTGTTTTGGGTCACAAACAGGTTACCCAATGGCCTCAGGAAGGAAGAAAAGGAAAAATGAAGAGGCCACATTGTAGGGCTGCTTCCCTTGCTCCTCCAGCTACTGTTACCCGCTCCGTCAGCCTTGGTGACATGTGAATCATTAGCCTGGCCCTATGGCTGAAGAGCAGCATCTCAGGTCAAGGTGAGTCAAGCCTACCATCTGGTCCTGGCTCCAGGCTCCTGAGCTGAGAGCTTTGAAATGATACTTAAAGCAGCACTCTCTGCCTGTCTGCACCCTAAAGAACAAGAGCATTCACATAAACACACTCCATATGTCTCTAGCTCCACAGCTGCCCTGAGAAGACAGGCATTCATGGAGGAGGAAAAATATTTTATAAGCTTTGAAGGCCTTTATTTTGAGGTGTGAGGCAGATACTTTCCACCCAAACTATAGGGTAAAAAAACAAAAAGAGAGAGAGAGACACAGAGATAGATTGGTGAGAAGAGGTCAAGGAGCGAAAGCAGAGATGTCAAGACAGAAGTTCAGGGCTCTGGACTGGAGAGACGACTTAGGGGTTAAGAGCACCAGCTGCTCCTGCAGAGCAGCTGGGTTTGGTTCCCAGGACCCACATGGCAACTAACAACCAGATGTAACTCCAGTCGCAGTGGATCCAACACCACCTTCTGTTCTCTGTGAATACTGCATGCACATGGTGCACTTACATACATGTAGGCAAAACTTTCATATACATAAAATAGAAATAAAATAATTTAAGTTCAGGGCTCTGACCTCAAACACATGACTACTTCACTTTCCATTACATAGTAGGAGACTAGAGAAAATCCAGCAAGAATAACTTTGTGGAAAACAAATAGTTTATCTTAAACAGGACAGCCTGATTTATAGTGTGTGCTACACAGGGTGAGGTGGAGAAAAATTCTGCCATCAGTTGTCATATGGCAAAGTCCTGCATGTCTGCAGGGCTGGGGAAGGAGGAGTACTGGGTGATGGCATCCTGAGCATATGGAAATGGCACAGAATATACTCTGATATAAGGTTGCCAGGGCTATGTAGCAATACATACTTTGATGGAAGGAGTAAGTGTGGGAATTAAGGTTCATTATACAACAAAATATTTCCAAGTCTATGGTTAAAATTCCCACAGTCAGAATAGTTTATTTATTCACAGAACATAAAGATTTTTAAAAATTATTTATTTTATGTGCATGAGTGTTCTGCCTGCAACCAAGTATTGTATCACAAGAGTGCAATGCCTGTGGAGACCAGAAGAGGTTATCAGATGCTCTGCAACTGGAATTACAGCCACCACGTGAGTATTGGGAACCAAATCTGGATTCTCTGCAATAGCAACAAGTGTTCTTAAGCTGCTGAACCATCTCTCCCACACCTCTTTATATATATGAATGATCTCCCTATAGCCCTGGCTGGTCTCCATCTCACAGAGATCTAGCTTCCTCTGCTTCCCAAGTGCTGGGATTGAAGGCATGTGCCAGCCACCATACCTGCCTTCTTTTTATTTTTTTAACATATAGATTTTGGTGTGAGGTTACAAATGCACAATCTAAGGAGAAAAAGGATAAGTGAGTTCTGAAATTATAAGGGCAGAAAAATGGTGATGTGGAAAGAAAGAATTAGAATTTCACTCTGTTATCAACAGGCAGTTGAGATAGGCACTTGCAGTCTGCACCAGGACCCTGGGTTTAAATTTTAACTCTCTAAGCTTTTGGCAAATCATGTCTCAGTGTCCTCATCTGTAAAAAGGCATAATAGGATAAATCTCACAAAGTTTTATAGGGATCAATGAATTAATTATATATTCATTATATATTAATTGAAGTAATATATAAAATACAAAGACTTTGCTTACTATGTAATAAGTGCTTCATAGATACCAGTGATCACTTTCAATAAAATTTTTATGAACTAAAATTTTGGTTTTTAAAGGCTAACCCATTTTCTCCACATTTATCCCAGGTGGATATCATTTTCTGATTGACTTCAATACCATTTATATTCTTGAGGAGAAAAATTGATCAGCCATGCAAGTTCTTAATTTTCTTTTACCAGTATAAAGCTATTCAATAATAAAATTATCTCCTAAATAATTCTCCAGGTCTACATTTTATTAGCAAATAGAAATTCTGTTAAAGAATTGGAATATTATGGGAAGTTCAGACATTTTTCAAAGAGAAAGATGTGCTTTATTTGTTTAAAAAAGAAAAAAATAATCCAAGCCCAGCCAACATGGTTTCATCAGTTATTTGCCTTCAGTCACTCAGCCGGCTCTGTCGGGATCAGACAGTGAGGGCTGAAGAGGCTGAGAGGAAAGAAGGATGCCCAAGGATTACCCGAATGGAGGCTTCCAGCGCCTCATCCTCTCTTTCCCTGTATCACACACACACACACACGCACACACACACACACATACACACACACACACACACACACAGAGTTCTTTCATTATATACTTAAAATGCCAAAGTCACTGGGATATGGGCCTCTGGCCTGGGGCTTGGCAGACCACACTTCTGGACTTACATAATAAAATCTACCATGTGGCTGTGTGATTCACACAGCATGTGCATGTCACCAGCAAACGATGGCTCTTGACAGGGAGCCTTCTACTGGCTTGGGTACAAGCATGGACTTGCCTGTCTGGAGAAGCAGCAGGTCACTGCCACCGAGGGCTGCTTGTGGTGAAGAGCACATTGGTGTGGGTCTGAGGGGGCTACCATCCACCCACCAAATCCCTTCAGCACAGTGGCAGCTCAGCCGGCCAAGCAGCAAGGGACTCTTCAGGACTAGGAGCCATACAGGAATTTACAATTCCTGAGTGTTCTAAAGGAAGAAACGCTAAAAGGGACTACAAAGTGTTACAGGTCAGAGTTCGCACAAAATCACCAACACTGCTTCAGTAGAAAGTAGCAAGGTAAAACTTTATTATGACCAGCTGAGCTGTCTATCTTGGGAGTAGAAGCAGCCCCGAATGGTTTTTAACAAGAGTTTTTATAGGGTTACAAAGGATTTATTCAAAGAGACATCCAATTAGAAGTGTACAACTCAGCAATTTTAAAATTAGTCAACTACCTAGCCACAACAAGCAAGTATTGCAACAGAAGCCAAAAATCAGCAGTTACCAGATGGTCACTGAATAACAGGATGGTCATACTACATGTCAAGGTGACCTGAAATAGCAGAGCAAGCAAGTTACAGAAGAAAAATAAGCAGTTAGCCAGATGTAGGATGTTCCAGAGCAACACATTCTGTGGTTTTATGGTTAGGCGATTTTCAGAACTCAAGGTTGCTCCCCTTCTGGGTATTTTTCATAAGTAGGGTAGAAGTCACTGCTGAAATGGCTGCTCTGGGAAAAATGGAATAACTTGGGTCAGGTTGCTAATACAGGTTGCTAATATAATTCATTCCCCATTCCTGTTGAGAGTAAGGTTAATTCTTTGACCTATTTTAAGTTTTCTTCTTGTATTTCTCCAGTCGGTACAAGTTGTTCATACTGGCTCCTTAATACCATAAGTTTGACTGCCTGGAGTCTCTGATTAATGAATTTTACAAGAGCATTTAGGACACAAGCCCCAAAGGTGAGTGTTAGAATAATAAGGACTAATGGGCCTGCAACAGTAGTCAACAATGTGGTCAGCCAGAGCAACCAGGAAAATAAGGACTCATACCAGTTTGGGTGGGTAACAAGTTCCTGTTCCCTGACATTAATTCTTTGTTGGACCAATCTGATCCTATTTCTGATAACTCCAGTATGGTTGGCATAGAAGCAACATTTTTTACCTAATGCCATGCATAAACCACCTTGTTGCATAAAAACAAGGTCTAGTCCCCGATGATTTTGTAACACTACCTTAGCTAATGAGTCGAGGGAATAAATTAGATTTTTTAATTTGATTTTCCATGTCTTTTAGGTCTAAGTTTATTTGTCAGGCAAGAGCTTTAAAACTTATCTTTCCTTTGATTAAGGAAGCTGTCCCTACCCCCATAGCTCCCACTATTCCTGTTCCTACTAGCATAGGTACTAGAGAGGCTGTCATGGCTCCCCTAGGAAAACAGGCACCGATTGGAGATACTAAATGTTCCCATCCTTCTATACCTGAATAGTAGTAGACTTGTGGGATAAGGTGGACCAGGATACAGAGTTCACCTGGAGCGGCCAGGAACTTCTGATTTATACAGGGAGTCAGCCCAGAGGTGCAAGCGAACCAGGTTCCCTCTGGCAGGACTAGATTGCTTTCCACGGGGTGGTGTAAGGGGGGGGGGATAGATGATTACACATCCCTTGGTAAGGGGACAGGGATAAGTTATAGATAGGACCATAGAAACAAGCTCCTTTACCTGATAGACTACCAAGGGTGAGTATGGGTTTAGAGCCCCAGGGGCAGAGGTCTCCTTTAAGCACTTCACCAGACGTGAGATTCTGGATAAAGGGGGAGTTTGTTCCTACAGACCTAATGGCCCCTAAGGAGGTCACGGGTCTAAGCAGAGCCAGCAGTCCTTGGTTAGGTCTGGATCAGTAGCATTGAAAAACTCATAAGAATAGAGCAGGGAATTATATAATTCAGGGGAGTCCCATCGAGAAACATCATTGGGACCTACACAATTGGTAGGAGGTGGTTTTGGTGGTAAGGGGGCATTGAGGGCCTTATTAGGTACAATAGGCACTGGAGGGATTAGTGGGATCTCAACCTTTTGAATAGTAAATTCCATCCCAGGATCCTTTCCTGGGGCATAAAGCCGTATCCCCCAGGTCCTTCCCACGAACCAACTTTTGTCATCCCCATCTAATATTTTTAATACCAGGGGGTTGAGTTTCCCCACAGTAGTTCCAGCTGTGCCATGTTGGAGGGAAATCCATCTATCCTTTGATCCAATCCAGGAGGCGAATGTTTCACAACCCCAGGTCCCACAGTGCCATTCATTCTCAAGGTTACAGTCTAGGCTCCTATCTGCTGGGCATCCATAAACCTGTAAGTCTTGTAGACCCTTCTTGAAGGGAGTAGACCCACGGGCCCAATCTCTGACGGATGAGGCATGGTAGTAAGTGTGTACAACATATACCATTTCAAGTCTGAACAGATCACAGATGTCAAACTGGAGGGTAGGGGTGTAGCCAGTGGTTGTATTGGTGGCTAGGGTTTTTCCACCTGAAGTTCTCCTGACTATCCATTTATAGGTGTCCGGTATGTGGGGGTTTTGGTCTTCATGTCTTTTAATAGCTCCTATCACCCAGGAGATAAGCAAAAGAATTAAGATTCTTTTATCAGTCTGACCTTGAGAGGATTGTCTGTTCTTCTTACTGTTCATGTGTTCATGTTCAGGGAATGTGGTCCGGATAAGTTTTTTTTAACCTGGGAGCAGTGTATCCAGTGGGCCCATGCGGCAACTTTGACAGCGGTTGGAGTCAGCAAGATGATTGGGTATAGGCCAGTCCACTTGGGTTCGAGGTTAGGCATTCTATGTCTGCGGACCCAGACCCAGTCACCAAGTTTCAAATCCACCTGATCAGTGGTCAGCAGGGGGGATGATCGGATTCACAAGTCTCCTGTACCAGCCCTTGCACCTGGCTTAGGGTGCTTTGCAGAGCCTGTAATGACTGTAAAAGGCTGTGATTAGATATTTCTGCCATGTGTTTCTCTCCTAAGTGAGGGATGAGAGGCAGAGGTCATCCAAACAAAATCTCAAAGGGAGTAATTCCCTTCACATAGGGGGTGCACCTAGCCTTGAGAAGGGTGAAGGGAAGAGTACTTACTCAGTTACCGTCAGTCTCTGTTATTAACTTAGTTCAAGTCTCCTTGAGAGTTCTATTCATTCTTTCTACCTGACCTGAACTCTGGGGGTGATATACACAATGCAGTTTCCATTCTATCTGGAGAGAAGAAGCTAAGGATTTAGAGACATGAGCTATAAAAGCTGGACCATTATCAGACCTCAGACCAATAGGGATGCCAAATCGAGGTATAATCTCATTTAGTAGCTTTTTGGCTACTACCTTGGTGGCCTCAGACCTAGTTGGGAATGCCTCAACCCATCCTGAAAAAGCGTTCACCAGGACAACCAGATATTTGTAACCATAGACCTCATCAGTCATCTCAGTAAAGTCCAACTCACAGATTTCTCCTGGTGCTTGACCCCTGAGCCTCTGTCCTAGAAGAGAGAACTTAGAAGCAGATTTAGTTTGAGCACAAGACTGACATCTCCAGGCTATGTCCTGGCACATCTGTCCTAAGTTGGGGATGTACAAATCCCGTTTTGCTAATTCTGCCATTTTGGTAGCTCCCATGTGGGTTGTAGAGTATAATTGTTGTAACCAGTGTCTTCCTAGAGTTCTTGGGAGGATGGGTCTCCCGTCTTCCATTAGATGCCATCCTTTATCATCCTTTTTTCCTTGTAAATCCTTGATGGTGTTGAGGTCAGAGGTTGAGTAAGAGGGGAACTTGGGTAACACCCGAGTTAGGAGGGCAGTTAAAACCTTTAAGGTCTGTACAGGCTGTAAGGCTGCCTCCTTTGCTGTTTGGTCAGCAAAATCATTGCCATTCACTTCCTTTGACTCTGTCTTTTGGTGCCCTCTACAATGTACAATGGCTACTTGCTTTGGGAGCCATAGGGCCTCTAGGAGAGTAAGAATTTCTTTATTTTTAATTTCTTTTCCATTGGAAGTTAACAACCCTCTTTCTTTATACAGGGCCCTGTGTACATTTGCAGTGGTGAAGGCATAATGGCTGTCTGTAAAGATGCTTATGGTTTTTCCCTTTGCCCAACTAAGTGCTTGAGTTAAAGTGATGAGCTCAGCCTTCTGTGCTGATGTGCCATGTCCTAGGGCTTGGGCCCATAGGATTTCTGTTGGGGTTATTACTGCCACCCCAGCATATTGAATACCTTCCTTAACATAGCTACTGCCATTAGTGAATAGCTCGGTGTCCACCTTGGGCAAAGTTTTGTCCTTTAGGTCTTCCTGTACCCTGGTTAGAGTACTCACCATCTCTAGACAGTCATGAGCAGGCGATTCTGTAGTCTCATCTGGCAGGAGTGTGGCAGGGTTTAGAGTCTCTGACTTGAGGAAGGTTATGCGTGGGGGTTTAGCAGTAGTACCTGGTACTGTGTGATACGAACGTTGGAAATCCATCAGTCAGGAGGGGCGCACAGCAGCGTCTCCACTGCATGGGGGCCAATGATTTGCAGATCTTGGCCTAGAGTAAGCTTGGAGGCCTCTTTGACCAGGAGGGCAGTGGCCACTATTGCCCTCAGGCAGCTGGGCCATCTGGAGGCTAATGGATCTAAATGTTTGGACAGATAGGCCACTGGCCTCCTCCATGCCCCCAAAGTCTGAGTCAAAACTCCTTTGGCTATTCCTTGACTGTCATGTACGAAGAGCAGGGCAGGTTTGGTGACATCAGGTAAGACTAGAGCAGGGGCCTGAGTCAGGGCCCTTTTAAGCTGTTGAAAGGCTTGATCCTTTGATGGGCCCCAGACAAACTCAGTCCCTTCCTTCATGGAAGGGACTTAGCTATTTCTCCCAAGCCTGGAATCCAAAGTCTGCAATACCCCACTACCCCTGGGAACTCTCGCACCTGTCTTCTATTCTTGGGAACAGGTATATCAAGGATGGCTTGGATTTGTTCTGAGCCCAGCAACCTTTTCCCTTCATGGATTTGATACCCCAAATAGGTGACAGAGGAGAGCATACCTGTACCTTCTTCATGGAGACCTTGTACCCCAGTAGGTCCAACTCTTTTAGCAAGGCTTCGGAGGCCTGTTCACAGTCCTCAGGATTATATGTTGCTAAGAGTAGATCATCAACATACTGTAAAAGAGTCACCTCTGGATGGGCTTCTTTGTAGCTGGCTAGGTCTCATCTCAAAGCCTCATCAAATAGTGTGGGGAAAGCCACATCCAGGTAAGCTGTCTGCTGTAGGACCCATCAGGGTCAGCCCACTCAAAAGCAAAGATGGGCTGGCTAATCACTGTGATTGGCAAAGAGAAGAAGGTATCCTTCAAGTCAAACACAGAGTCGGTTTGTCTCTCAGGCCCTAAATCACTGAGGAGGGTATAAGGATTAGGCATAGTAGGATGGATAACCTCAACCTGCTTGTTGACCTCTCTCAGGTCCTGGACAGGCCTGAGCTCATTAGTCCCAGGTTTAGGTACTGGCAGGAGCAGTGTGTTCCATGGGGAGTGGCAGGGGATGAGAATCCCTGCTTCTTGAAGCCTGTTAACATGTTTGGCAATTCCTAGTCTGGCTTGGAGGCTGATGGGAGCTGCTTGGGGCAGCTGAATTACTAGAGGTGGCTGATGTTTTTCCAATCCTGGGGGTTAATCTCTGCCCATACATGAGGAATTTTGGTCTTCCATATTTCTAATAAGGCTGATGGAGTCCATTGCTGTTTCTTCCATGGGGGTCCTGATGCAGAAGATATTCCTCTGACAAAGGGCAGGTAACAAGGACAGTGGGGGTTTGAATGGTTAAACCCACTGAGTCCCCAGTAGAGGCTATATTGGCCTTTAGAGTAGGGAAGAGGTCTCTCCCCAACAAGAGGTAGGGGCAGTCTGGTATCAGGAGAAAGGAATGAGTCACAGTTCCTTTGGCTAGATCTGTTATTTGATCTTTAGTTTGGGAATAAGACTGGTATTTTCCAGTGGCTCCTTGAATAATCAACTTTATATCCTTAGGAGTACCTAAGGGCTCTTTTAGCACTGAAATGGCAGCCCCAGTGTCTACCATGAATCTGGTAGGCTTCCCCTTTACCTGTAAAGTGACCCTTGGTTCCTGGGGATTAAGGGAAAAATCAAGGCCATGTCATGCCTCCTTAACAGTCAGGGCAGTCTCTTTTCCCTTGCGGTTAGGGCATTCACTCTTCCAGGGGCCTTCTTCCTTACAGTAAGCACACTGGTTTCTTCTGAGCCTGGGCTTTTCTGACCCATCGCCTTGGAGGCTTACAGGGATCTCTCGTGTCCCTCTGAGGCCACCTAATATCCCTTCCTAAAGAGGCCACTAACACTTTTCCCATTTCTTTTCCTTGCTCCTGAGTGAGGGAGTCCTGGTTAATATAGACTATTTGGGCTATCTCAATTAACTCAGATATTAATTTTCCTTCGAAGCCTTCTAATTTCTTTGTTATTTTTCTTAATGACTGAGAAACGAAGGCAATATTTAAGATCCTTCGGTTCTCAGATGCCTTGGGGTCAATAAGGGTATAGAGGCAGTAGGCTTGGTAAAGCCTTTCAAGAAAGGCAGCTGGAGACTCACCTGGCTCCTATACAGTTTGGCTGACCTTAGATAAATTTGTGGGTTTCTGGGCTGCTGCTCTCAGTCCCTGCAAGAGTCTGGCAGTACCTGGCAAGGTGATCCTGCTCCTCAGTGGTGCTGGGGTTTCACTGTGGTCAGGCAGATGGAAAGAGTGTCTCAATAATCCCCTGGTCCTGTGATGGGAGGCCATCTGCCCCCAGGACAGAATGGGTAGCCTCTCGCAGAATCCTGGTTTGTTCCTCAGAGGTGAAGAGTATCTGCAGGAGCTGATGACAATCATCCCAAGTAGGAAGATGAGTTATAAAAATGGAACTGAACAAATCAGTGAGTTTGGAGGGTTCCTCCAAAAAGGGAGGGTTCTGAGACTTCTAGTTATAAAGACTGGTAGTGAAAAAAGGTGCATAAACAGACACAGACTGGCCTTCCTCCCCATTGTTTCCACGTGCCAGGGTAATCTCCCGCAGAGGTAAAAGGGCAGGTGGAGCCTGGAATGTGGAGGCCCCAACTGGAGAGTGAGAGCCTCCATATCTTGTCCCGGTCCGGGTGTGGGGTGGGCTTTGCATATCACCATCTGGAGGGGAATTGTCATCAGCAGAATCTGCTCATGGTGGAGGTCATGGAACCTGGAGAACATATGGAGGGGGATCTAGGGGATCCCCATCCCCCTGGAGAACAGGGTACAATCTCTTAGGTTTAGAAACAGGGAGGAGAGCAGTGGGAGCCGAGGGATGTGGTAGAAGTGTCCTCTTCAGCTGAGAAGTCTTCTGGCATTGTTTGATTCATTGTGGTGGGTCATTAAGTAGATCAGCCATTGTAACTATGTAGGGGATCTGGTCAGGATGAAACTGGTTACAAATCCTGTGAACGGAAGCCACAATGGTTGGATCATAAGTTCCCTCAGAAGGCCAATTTGTCTCACAGAAGGTTGGCCACTCTAGTTCACACAGGGTCCAGAGTCTGGGGGCTTTGACTCGAAAGCCATAGCCTCCTGCACTTTTCCTAAAATTAGAAAAATTGTTTAACATACATTCCAATGGGGTAGCACTCTTAGACTCAGGCTGCCCCATGACAAAAACAGACACTATTCCAAAACACAGAATGAGATAAGCACAAACAGACAACACCAGCCAGGTTGCCACTAGGTCTAAGTTCCAGAAAAATGACAGAACTTCAGACCTCATAGCTGGGGGGATAAGGGGAGGAGTTGTCTGGCGGTGTCCCCTCCGGTGCCCAACTAGGGGGAGGTTTGCTGTGTCCAGCTTCCCACCTAGTAAGTCTGATCAGATCCCAGAACCAGATGGTGAAAAGTTGCCGGCTAGCCAAAATCAACAGAGAAACCAAAAAAGCGGTTTCTCAAGCATGCTCTTACCTTGCTGGTGGTGCGGTGGGAAAAGCCAGAGGGCTGGGGAAGACAGGAGTGGTCAGGACTAAAAAGAAGGTCCCCTCAAGGGCAGTTCACTAAAACCGCCATGCCTGCAAGGTCCTCCGGATCTCAGCAGGACTTCTAAATGTTACAGGTTGGAGTTTGCACAAAATCACCAATACCACTTCAGTAGAAAGTAGCAAGGTGAAACTTTATTATGGCCAGCTGGGCTGTCTATCTCAGGAGTAGAAGCAGCCTTGGACAGTTTCTTTAACAAGAGTTTTTATAGGGTTACAAAGGATTTATTCAAAGAGACATCCAATTAGAAGTGTACAACTCAGCAATTTTAAAATTAGTCAACTACCTAGCCACAATAAGCAAGCATTGCAACAGAAGCCAAAATCAGCAGTTACCAGATGGTCACTGAATAGCAGGATGGTCATACTACATGTCAAGGTGACCTGAAATAGCAGAGCAAGCAAGTTACAGAAGAAAAATAAGCAGTTAGCCAGATGTAGGATGTTCCAGAGCAACACATTCTGTGGTTTTATGGTTAGGCGATTTTCAGAACTCAAGGTTGCTCCCCTTCTGGGTATTTTTCATAAGTAGGGTAGAAGTCACTGCTGAAATGGCTGCTCTGGGAAAAATGGAATAACTTGGGTCAGGTTGCTAATACAGATTGCTAATATAATTCACAAAGAAATGATAGCGCCTTAATTTTTCCCTCTTATTATAGCCCCTAAGTGTGCTATACTTCAGATAAAGGCAGGGTCCTCAATATGCTTTTTATTAAGAAACAATGTCTTGCTTAAAGGCCACAGCTATCTCCATAGCTGGTAGCTCCAGGCTCTCATGTCATCAGGCTGATTTGAAAAATAAGTATAGTTTCAGAAAGACAGAATCTGTGTGTGTGTGTGTGCGCACACACTTGCACATACCTTCCTCAATTGTTGTCCAACTTATTTTTTGAGGCAGGTTCCTTCACTGAACCTGCAGCTCACCAAGCCAGACTGGCTGGCCACAGAACTCCAGGGATCTTCTTGTCTATCCATCCAGCACTGGGGTTACAGACACCACTCCTGGCTTTAAGTGAGTCCTGGGGATCTGAACCCAATTTCTCATGCTTGGACAGTAAGTACTTTCCCACAGAGCCATCTCCCAGCCACTGGGTTCTGTTTCCTGAGGAAATGCTTCTCATTCATGCAACAAATGTGCTCAGAGCATCAAACACCTGATTTGAGGGAATCTTTTGTTTGTTTATTTGTTACTTTATTTTGAGACATGGTTCCCCAGCTACACCCCAGCTGGCTGGCATTCACTATGTAGACCCAGAGATCTGCCTGCCTTTGCCTCCCAAGTACTGGGATCAAAGGTGTGTGCCACCATGCCCAGTTATCCTTTTCGTGGTATATTTAGTGATAAATTTTTCTTATTTCTGTGGGTTTTGTAGATAATTTCACTATTTTAAAAACCCTTATGAGCACAGTGGTTTTTTTCCCATTATAATAATTGTGTTAATAACTTTAAGGGAAGCATACCTTTTCTTAGGAGGAAGCTTAACAAGCCCTGCACAATCCTCTCCCTCTGCTCGGCTCTATGTTCATCACACTCATATTTTCTTGCTGTGCTTTATGATGGGGTTTATCAAACCACAACAGGAAAATAATACATACCTATAAAAAAGTATTTCACATTCCGAAACCTACTCCACGTGGAGACACATGGGCCACGTAAACGGTTGGCAGCAAGGCCTCAGAGCAGTTCCCTTCTGTCTGTTTTATCAATGTAGCCACGTCTGGATACTTTTTTGTTTGTCTGTTTTTAAGACAGGGTCTCACTGTATAGCTCTGGCTGGCCTTGAACTCATTAAATAAGCCAGGTAGGCCTCAGACTCAGAGACCCACCTGCTTCTGCCTCCCAAGTCATGGAATTAAAGGTGCATACTGTTACATCTGACTCATGCATGGTTTCTTACATGGGTGCTGGGGATTCAAACTTAGGCCCTCATGCTTGTATAGCAAGTGCTCGTAATTACAGCAGAGCCATCCCCTAGCTCCCATTCTGAAGTTATAATTAGGACTTTCTAGGTCCTGGTTTTGGTAGTAAACAAAATTGGACATCAGCCTCTGTGGTATGACTGGTACTCTGAAAAGCACAGCTGCTCGAAGCTGCACTGTGCACACCGGGGTGTTTGCTCCACACGGACCAACAAAGCATTGTGTTTTCAATCAGGGCCCAGTTCTGCCTCTAGCTCCACCATAGAACATGTCTAGATTCCTCTGTTGTGCTGTCCTGTTAGTATGTGCTTGTCAATCACAACTGAAATTTAATATTATCTTAAGCAAAATACAAAAAGTTAAATGTGGTGCAAAAATAATCAAACTGTGTACTTCAAAGCCATTAGCATAGGCTAATGAGCAGTGTCTATAAAACCCCAGAAGTTCACCACCTATTAACACTGTCTTGGGAAATCAGATGCAATAACTGTGAATGAGCACAGCAGCCAGGCCCATTCTGACCCCAACTTGCACATTTTTGCAGAAATAAAAAATTAAACAACTGAAAACAAAAATTCTGAACTGTGGGAAGAAAAGCTCTAATTTTCTCTCCCTTTAACATCTTCTAAAACATGAAAAAACATTGTAGTGATTGGAATGATTGGAGATTTTGAACTAAATTAATATTTTTGATCTACAATTTGCTGTCTGAGGTAACAGTGAGGAGGCACAAGTGCTATCACTGAATCACTTTCAGTGTTTTAGACACTGTGCTGGCCACAGATGCAAAACCTTTTGATGTAGGCTTTATCCTTACTTTAGAGATGAGAAAGTTGAGGGTCATGGAGGTTAAGTAACTTGTTAAGGTCCTACAGTCCAAAAGTATTCAGAATCTCAAAAACACTTTGACCCTATGGGTATTTTTAAAGCCATTTGCCTACCAGCCTGAGACCACAAGCCTGAATATTTCAAAATTATCAATGCCCTGGAAGACAGGGTCAGTAAAAGTCCTTTCAAATGCTCCCAGATTGCTAAGGAAATCACTCTGTATGCATGGTCTTTCATGTTACTGACGAAACCACTTCTACCTAGACTGGTCTTAAAAAAATTAATCAAATCCCATCATTCCTTTTGTCTATACTAGAAAGACACAGCTGAAGAGCTGGAAGACAGAGTCAACTGCTTAGTCCTACCACTCTCACATGGAAACATAATTGCTCACAATTGAATTCTCCCTAGACTTCTACTCACAGTAATTCAGGACAGAACAGCTCCCTGTCACAGTCTATCAAAGGGTGGGGGCGTCGTGTCTCCTAACAGATAATTAAAGACAAGGCACTGCCTCTTGCTAGGATTTCTCTCCTTCTCTTTCACCTCTAAGAAAAGAAGAAACTTTAGTTTAAAGATTAGATTTTTTCTTCTTCTTTTCTAAAGCTGGGTACAGCAACTGGCATGGGCTGTATTAAAATCAGGAGAAAGCTCAATCAAAAAGCCTCTCGGAAGGCAGGCGTTCTTGTTAATATGCACCAACATGAAAGGCTTTCTTTTCATCCTATACAACTACAGTGTGTGTAAATTGCAGGGGGCTCATTGGCATAAATCTCCACTGCGACCTCTGAGGTAAACTGGATTTACATTACTTTCTGACAAGAATTAAATGAAGGCCTTGTGGATATATGAACAGCCTTCTAGGCTGCAACAGATGGGCATGAATGTGTTCCCTAGGAAAACTATCAGTGACATCTGTGTCCTCCAAATTCTGGTGGTCTCAGCCAATTAACTTTTTTTTTGGGGGTTGGGAGGCCAAGGCACAGCCCCCAGCCAAAAACTGAGGGAGAGTGTTTGTGTTTGGAGATGGGCTCAGGCTGGCCTGCAGCACCGAGGAGACTACTTCATTGTCACCATTCAAAATGGGGACTGTGGCTTACAAACTATTTGAATGCCACAGCGAGGACAATATGATTTTTCTCATTTGACCAGAGGAGATGGCTCTCTCTTGCAGCTGATATCATATTTCTGTACAATCTCTTTGAGAGTGTTTACTTTTGTCTCCTCCAAGGCAGTCTGATGCAGTTGTTTGCCAGCTCCTGTGGCACATTTACGTGTCACAAAGCAGGTGAACTTTGAGACAAAACAGACCCTTCCCCCAAAGAGGCTTCTTCAAACTTGTTTTTGCCTAAGAGTAGCATTTACTGATTTCACAAAGAAATCACAATCAAGGTTTCCTGGTTTAAATGAAGTCAGGAAATATGACCCCAGAGTTCTCAATGGAGGCACTGGTGAGTGTGTGCTTAAGAAGCCACAGGCCTATGGATCCTGAATCTCTCCGTTCCCTCATAGGTCAGCCTCCCTGTGTTTGGTGAGCAAGGAGAAAGGACACTGGCAAAACCCACACAGAGGCAGGAATTCCTTTTCAGCACCACCCCTTGTCTGCACTCTCTCAGTCCATGTGTGTGGCACATGCCGGACAGGAGAGCAGACCGTGAGCTGGAAGGATG